ACATATATATATATATACACACACATACATATTATATATATATATACACATACTGTAATGAGTCAACGGAGTGAGGATCCATTTGCAGCTTTTAATAAGGCAGGCAGCGAAGAATCCAAAAACGAGAGAAACAGTCCAGGGTCAAACACGGTAATCCAATAGAAAAGATGATAATGCTCAGAAATGTCAGCCGGGGCAAAAACAAGACTTCACGAAGAGTGAGTGTGAGACAGAGGCTTAAGTAGTCCCATAAACAAGCATCAGGTGAGCTCGTAATCAAAGTCAGGTACGGGGTGATGGGAAATTGAGTTTGAGAGGAAAAGTCAATACTCGGGTGATGGCGACCTCTGGTGACGATCAGGGGGAACCACAGAGGCCGGATTCGTTACAGAGCCCCCTCCCTGCGAGCGGCTCCTGACGTGAGAAGGCAAACGACGCTGGGGTCTTCCGCGAGAACGAGGGGCCGGTTTATCCGGATGGGTCCCGTGGAAGTCAGTGGTAAGTGATGGGTCAAGAATATCCTTGGCTTCGACCCAGGACCTTTCCTCTGGTCCATACCCCTCCCAGTCCACGAGATATTGCAGAATTCCTCCCCGGCGCCGAGAGTCTAGGATCTCCTGAACCTGATATGCCTCCTCACCGTCGATGATGAGGGGAGGGGGTCCCTGGTTCAGGGCCTCATCTAGGTCATCCGCCCTTCTCGGAGCACCAGCGGCCTTGAGCAAAGAGACATGAAAGTTGGGTGAGATACGATACTGAGGAGGTCAAAATGCGCATGACAATCGCATTCGATTAATCGTGCAGCCCTATTCAGCAGGTATAGGATCAGTGCCCTGTGTCTCCGCAATCTCAGTCATGACGTCCCACTGCGCCGGTGCTACAATGAGAGTAGTAGGCATGATGGGATCAGGTGAAAGGGGCTGGTATGCTGACTCAAATTGACGTGAGAGTACATCTGCTTTGGTGTTTTTGGAACCTGGACAATAAGTTACTGTGAACTGAAACCGTGTGAAGAAAAGAGCACACCTGGCCTGTCTGTGATTGAGTCTTTTTGCACTGCGGAGATATTCCAGATTGCGATGGTCAGTGAGAACTGAGAAGGGAAATTTGGATCCCTCAAGCCAGCGTCGCCACTCCTCAAAAGCCGCCTTCATTGCCAACAGCTCACGGTTTCCCACATCATAGTTCTGTTCTACTTGATTTAGCTTGCGTGAGAAGTAAGCACAGGGGAAAAGTTTGGGTGGACTGCCATGATGTTGCGAAAGGACTGCCCCTACACCTGTGCTGGAGGCATCTATCTCTACCACCAACTCACGTTCAGGATCAGGGTGATGCAATATGGGTGCAGTGGAGAAACGTTCTTTGAGGTGGTGAAAAGCTTTGTCAGCTGCTGGTGACCAGGATAAGCGACCTCCCTTCCTCTTAATCATTGACATTAGAGGGGCTGCGATGGAGTCTCTGATGAAACGTCTGTAAAAGTTAGCGAAGCCAAGGAATCTTTGCATCTTTTGTCGTAGGTCGGGGGCCAGTTCAAGACAGCTTGTACTTTATGGTCATCCATCGCCACTTCCTCAGGACTGACTACATATCCCAGGAATGTGGTAGAAGTCTGGTGAAACTCACATTTCTCTGGCTTAGCGTATAACTGATGGGAGATTAAACGTTGTAGAACAGCTCAGACATGGCTAATGTGTGTCTCAAGGGAGTCAGAATAAACGAGAATGTCGTCCATGTAAACGATGAATCTATTGAGCATGTCATGGAATACATCATTTGTGACCATGGACCACAAAACCAGTCATAAGGGTAAATTTTTTGAAATTGAGATTTATACACCATCTGCTGAATAAAGCTGAATAAAGATCTCTTTCCTCTGGAGAGATGCGTGTGTCCCACTTGCATAGCTTCTTGTTCAGGAACAACTGGAGGGCTTGGTGAACGGAACGTTGAACCCCTGCTGGGTCTCCTAGAGCGAATCAGATTGTCGATGCGAATGGCGAGATCATTTAGTTGAGCCAAAGTTTTTCCCTCGTCAGAGACGAGACAAGGGCAGAGTAATGAGACAGGCGAGTGATCGGGGCTGGCAGCAACACTACTCACTGCTGTGTGTGTGCACTTGGATGGGTTAAATGCAGAGCACCAATTTCGAGTATGGGTCACCATACTTGAAAATATGTCATGACTTTCACTTCTCTTTTTTATAAAAACCCTTAACCATGGTACACTTACAACCACATGTGGTATATATTGCAAGAGAGTCAAAAGGCAGGCAGCGAAGAATCCAAAAACGAGAGAAACAGTCCAGGGTCAAACACGGTAATCCAATAGAAAAGATGATAACGCTCAGAAATGTCAGCCGGGGCAAAAACAAGACTTCGCGAAGAGTGAGTGTGAGACAGAGGCTTAAGTATAAACAAGCATCAGGTGAGCTCGTAATCAAAGTCAGGTATGGGGTGATGGGAAATGGAGTTTGAGAGGAAAAGTCAATACTCGGGTGATGGTGACGATCAGGGGGAACCACAGAGGCCGGATTCGTTACACATACATAAACACACATATATATATATATATATATATATATATATGTGTGTATGTATGTATGTATGTATGCATGTATATAGTTCGCTATTACTTTTTTTTTTAATATGTTCGTGTGTCCCACTTGCATAGCTTCTTGTTCAGGAACAACTGGAGGGCTTGGTGAACGGAACGTTGAACCCCTGCTGGGTCTCCTAGAGCGAATCAGATTGTCGATGCGAATGGCGAGATCATTTAGTTGAGCCAAAGTTTTTCCCTCGTCAGAGACGAGACAAGGGCAGAGTAATGAGACAGGCGAGTGATCGGGGCTGGCAGCAAACAGAGTAAACAACAGTCCAAAAACAGGACAAGAGAGTCAAAAAGGCAGGCAGTGAAGAATCCAAAAACGAGAGAACCACCGTCTGATCAGCGGAGATGGCCAGAGTCATGGACGTGGCTGTGTACGACACCAGAACGATAGAGAACAGGAAGATGAAGAAGGCCTCGGCCGATGCTTTCAGTCCTGCACAGGAAACACAAACACATCAAACCACACGTCTGATATCAGACGGACATGAATGACGTGATGATGAGGCGATGTGTGTCTGACCGATCATAAAGTACGCCACGCAGCTGAAGATGATGGCCGGGATGGTGCGCAGAGTCAGGATGTCAGACAGGATCTTAGACAAGAAGTACACCGAGACTCTGTAGTATCCGCTGATGTACTCGTGCCTGAGGACACGCCCACCATAACAACATCATCAATCAATCAATCAAATATTCTAATTACAATCAATCCCCAAGATAACTGCACAGAAAATATCAGAAGCCAAATTCACCAAACATTCTTTAGAATTAAATTATTATTTTTTTCTTATTATTTTCTTACTTTGGAAAAAAAGTTTAAGAATATGTTGTATTCCCAAAAATTACTTTTCAAAAACAAAACTTAACAAGAATTAAAATTCTTGAAACTAATCTTCTTAAAATCATCACAGATTACCTCTTAACCCTCTGGTGCTCTTTAGCCATTTTTGACTTCATTGGAATTGTACGAAACTTGGTAAAGATTTTGCACTTGCTATGTGAACACAGAAAACCCCAAAACGAATTAATGGACATGATTCGAAAAGAAATAGTCACACTTGTACTGTTCACGGTCAAAAATCACCACATTACAGGGGACAGACCGGGAAGCAAATTTCATCTTGTGGAAACATTTGGTATTGCGCCTAAAAATCTTACAGAAAGCTCAATTTTTGCAATATCAACAACAAATTTGGAGCACAACTTGAGATTTATGGCTTTGATTTTCAATGGTACTGTTCAAATTGAAAACTAACCAAATTGGAAATGAATGGGATTGTATTGCGCACAAACAAAATCCTAATACTGTAAATTTTTTTGTGATATCTACCTCAAATTTGGAGCACAACTTGTTTAGAGTTATGGCTTTGATTGAAACACAGTTTTAGATTGAAACATGTTTCGGAAAATACATATTTTATATAGATTTTGTAACAATACACAAACTTACATAATTTTTTTTACATTTCACTTTTTTAACTTTTAAAAAGTCAAGTTTTTAAAAGTTAAGTTGAAGTGACACCAATAAGTGTTGTAAACAGTGATCAATCATGATTATGTATGATGCGACTTTTGGGGAACTTCCAAATTTAGTACCAACTCTACAAAAGCCAGTCAAATACGGGGAAAAATTAAGATGTTCTTAAGAACATATTTGAAAAATTCTTGAGAAATATTGCAATTATTTGCTTTTATATATACACTGTTATTCTGTTTTAAATGTGATATGATAAACATTTAATCTTATGAATAATAACCCACTCAATTTGAATAATAGGAGTTATACCTTCTCAGATATTTCGTTTTTTTTTTTTTATATACATTTTATTATATTAATTTTAACTGGAAATAATTACAAAATGAACACAGAAATATCCTATAATAAAACCTTAATACAAATAATAATACACATTCACAACTAATCTACAACCAGAGTGTATGAAAATAAATTTTGTTTTCAATTAAAAATGTTTGTTGTTTTCAATAAAAAATGTTATTGATGTTTGTTTTTTCATTTTTACAATATATCTAAATAATACTTATTTAATTATTTAATATTTTATTTATTTACCTGCATGTCCTGGCAGGAAGTATATTTCATTAAAACCATTGAAAAATGTTGTTATTTAAATACACAATAATAAAAAAAAAAAAATACATTTAAAATAAAATGAAATATCAAAATAACCTACAACTCTAATAATACTACTGTACTGTAGAATACATCAAAACAGATATATTTACTAATAATTCTATTAATAACAATTAAACAATTTAAAAACCTTTACCTAAATAACCTTTTCACCCTATTTGATAATCACACTAAACCATAATTATATACAAAGCCATTTTTTATTTATTTTAATTAATTGTACACATAAACAACCTACAATTACAATGTTTCTACACTGGATATGTGCAATAAAACTACAAATAATCCCACTATCAACAAAACACTCTACATTTATTTACTTGCCTAAGTTATTTCACCTCCTACAGAATGTTTGGATAAACTGCTGTGTGTTAGAGATGCAAATCAGAACTTTTAACAATTCAGTCCTGAAGCAGACAATAAAGAATCCTTAATGCAACCAAACATAATGAAATTCATTCAGGAAGAACCGGTTCTCACTTGCCAACTCAAGTGTGTGTGTGTGTGTGTGTGTGTGTGTGTGTGTATTTACTCACACAAACAGTTTCCTCTCAGTGATGAAGAGTTCAGCTGAGGAAACGGAGCTGAAGCACTGATTGGTGGTAATGAAGAACAGCGCGCCCATCCTGAAACACACACACACACACACACACACAAGTGGACAACCAACTGGAGTTTTAAAAAAAATTTCAAAATATATGAGATGTACATGAAGTTGCAACAAAATTTTATTCAGTAAATTATATTTGAAAACACCAGGGCTGAAGAGACACAGCTTCTGTTAATCAGATCTGAGCATTGATTTACTCTAATTCAAGTGGACATGATTCTTCTCACAGAAATACTGAAATAATGACTGAACTGGATGAATGTGTTTTCATACCTGTTCTGAATGCCGCTCGAATTCTTCTCCACTCCAAAAAATATGGCTCCAACAACCAGAGCCAGGAAAATCATCACCCCGATCTGGAGAAACAATCTCAGATTAATATAGAAATACTAGCATCAACCCAAATAAAAACTTCATCATTATTTTTTCATTTACATATAGATATGTATATTTTCTTTTCACACATATTTTGACAAAAAAAAAGATAACCACTGAAATATTTTCAGTGTTGCTCAAGTTTATATCACCAGCAAATTCACCTCAAATATATTGTGAATATTCAATGAATCAAACAGAATTCATATTAATCTATGAGAAGTGTTGACGAAAATGTAATAATTCATCAAATAATAATGTAAAGACTAAATATTTTGTTTACCTGCATGAGTTATTATATTTAACTAAAACAATAAAAAAACTGTTACTTAAAATAATAAAACACATAAAATGAAAAATTAAATATAAAAATTATTTTACTTAAAATATTAAAAAGTAGATCTTATTTTATTTTAACCAGTTGCCAAGAAAACATGTTTTATTTAGTTTAACTTGCTGTACAAAAATAAACTCAAAATGAAATAAATAATTTAAAAGTAATATACATAATATAGACAAAATAATAAAATTTATGAAAAACAAAATAAAAAAAGATTGAAATTTGATAAAAAATGACAAATATAAAATTAAAAGCAAATTTTAAATAATAATGAAACTTATACTAGCATCTCAATGATCCTAAAATAACATTATGTTGTGTGTTGTCAAATTACTGAAATATCTTAAAATCTCAGAGGAACTTAAATAGTAGGCTTAAATATTTAAGACTGATAGAAACATATGTGAATGCCTGATGTAGACGGTTGCACTGACCTGAGCGAATGAGGTCTGTGGGTTCAGCATGAGGTTCCTGAAGGTTCTCCTGAGGACCCAGTTGAACTGGTGGCAGAAGGATGTGCTGTAGGTGATGGTTCTGGATTTGGGTCGTGTGCTGTAGTCCTGTCCCTGAACGATTCGCTCCAGCTCGCTTTTGGTCTGTTTGTAGCTGGAGCTGTTCTTGTATTCTTCCACCAAACGGTCCTCGATGCCCTTCAGAGACGAACTCAGCTGCTCCTGGTCCAGTTCTGACACACGCAAACACATTTATGATTTTCATAAACACAATCTCCGCTCTCACAAACACTAATCTCTGCTCTCTACCCAACAAAACGCACAAACTTTTTCTGCTCTCCCGGAACAACAAGGATTTTTCACACTCTGCTGCACTGTGTTTCACGGAAACCTGGCTGAATGACGCCATACCGGACAGCGCTTTAAATCTGCCGGGCTTCCAGCTGTTTAGAACGGATCGTGGCGGGACATGTTTTTACATCAGTGAGAGGTGGTGTGCAGATGTAAAAGTGTTAAAGAAGATGTGCTGCCCCGATCTAGAAGCTCTCTTCATTAACTGTAAGCCTTTCTATTCATCGCGGGAGTTCCACTCGTTCATTCTCGTGAGTGTTTACATTCCACTGCAAACGCACGTGAGCTCAGCTTTACACAAACTCGCTGATCAGATCACAGACACAGAACAACAACACTCGCACTCTGTTATTATCATTCTCGGGGACTTTAATAAAGCAAATCTCTCACGTGAACTGCCAAAACACAGACAGCGCGTTACATGTCCCACCAGAGACAGCAATATATTGGATCACTGTTACACTACAATAAAGTATGCATATCGCTCCGTCCCCAGAGCAGCTTTGGGGCTCTCTGATCACTGTTTGGTTCATCTTATACCGACCTACAGGCAGAAACTGAAATCAGCTAAACCTGTATTAAGGACTGTAAAAAGATGGACTAATGAAGCAGAGCAGGATTTTACAAGCCTGCTACGACTGCACTGATTGGAGTGTTTTTGAAGCTGCTGCCAATGATCTGGACGAGCTCACAGAGACTGTAACATCCTATATCAGTTTCTGTGAAGACATATGCATTCCTACCAGGACCTATTTAACATACAACAACGACAAACCATGGTTCACTGCAAAACTCAGACAGCTCCGTCAGGCCAAAGACGATGCTTACAGGAATGGGGACAGAGTCTTGTATAAACAGGCCAAATACACATTGGAAAAGGAGATCAGAGTGGCAAAGAAGAATTATTCTGAAAAGCTAAGGAACCAATTCTCTTCCAATGACCCTGCATCAGTGTGGAAAGTTCTGAAAGACATCACCAACTACAAGACACCATCCCCACAGCACTGTGGAAAATCAACAACTGGCAGATGATCTGAATGAGCTTTATTGCAAGTTTGAAAAAACACCATTAACACCTCCAGCAACCCTCCTCTCCCCCACACCTGCACTTCAGATCAGTGAAGATGATGTGCGTCAGGTCTTCAGAAAGAACAAGAGAAAAAAGGCACCAGGCCCAGACAGTGCCACACCAGCCTGTCTGAAAACCTGTGCTGACCAGCTGGCCCCCATCTTCACACAGATCTTCAACAGATCACTGGAGCTGTGCGAAGTCCCTTCCTGCTTCAAACACTTCACCATCATCCCCGTCCCAAAGAAACCCAAAATTACAGGACTTAATGACTACAGACCTGTGGCTCTAACGTCTGTGGTCATGAAGTCATTTGAAAGGCTGGTTTTAGCTTATCTGAAAGACATCACTGGACATTCACTGGACCCCCTGCAGTTTACTTACCGAGCCAACAGGTCTGTGGATGATGCCGTCAACATGGGACTGCACTACATCCTGCAACATCTGGACAGACCAGGGTTGACTCCATTGTGAAAAAGGCCCGGCAGAGGTTGTACTTCCTTCGCCAACTGAGGAAGTTCAACCTGCCACAGGAACAATTGAAGCTGAAACAATTCTACTCTGCCATCATTGAATCCTCTGGACAGACCAGGGACTTATGTGAGGATCCTGTTTGTGGATTTTAGCTCTGCATTCAACACTATCATTCCAAATCTCCTCCTGTCCAAACTAACTCAGCTATCCATGCCCACCTCTGTCTGTCAGTGGATCACGAGCTTCCTGATCGACAGGCAGCAGCTAGTAAAGCTGGGAAAATTCTCATCCAGCACCCATACGATCAGCACTGACGCCCGCCAGGGTTGCGTCTTCTTCCCACTGCTCTTCTCCCTCTACACCAATGACGGCACATCTAAAGAGCCCTCTGTCAAGCTCCTAAAGTTTGCAGACGGCACCACACTTATCGGCCTCATTCAGGATGCTGAGTCTGCTTACAGACAGGAGGTAAAAGAGCTGTCTGTCTGGTGCAGTCTTAACAACCTGGAGCTCAACA